TGTTATAATTTTTAGTTTTTTTATTTGTTAGTTGAATATAATATCTATTTTATAAGAATCATTCTAATTCTGTGAATTACAAGTTAGATTAGAATTAGCTAAATTCTCTTGAATTGTATGTTAAACCAAGAGATAATTGAAACTATAAAGTGTTGTACTATTCAAATACATAATAATTCCAACTTGAGCCAATACAATATTAGTAGACTTATCTTCATAATGCTATAATATTTGATTCTCTTTATAAAAGTCAAAAGTAAATATCATTGATCATTTTTTGTAAAGCTAGGATTCTTTGACTTTTTTTTTTAGTATTAATAATATAAAGCTTTTATTTCTGATTTCTGATACTATGATGACAAAATTTCTAATATTTATAAAAATTAGCCTAAATATTACTCTATTGAGTAATTTTTGTATTATATTCTCATCATTAAATCTAAGAATAGCAGATCTAAAATAGTTAGTTTTTCTTTTCTTTCTGAATATTACATGATATATACTATTAATAGCTTGAAAAAGTGTTAAACAAACATTGCTAGTTTTACTACTACTAATACAAATAAACTCAGACTGCAATTAGTTTTTTTTTATTTTTGACAACTTAATAAAAAATTGATGCTAGTTAAGAACAAAACTAATATGCATATATAGTCAATTTGAGACAGAAACTAAAATAGCTTTATCATTAGATAGTTAGAGTACTCACTATTTATAAATATAAAGACTGTAATATAGTTTAGAATACATTAGGTCTTTTGTAAGCAATAAGACACTATTACAAGACATATTATTTAAAATTTTATTATATTATTAGAATCAGTTTTGATATTTATAATCGTAAATATATATATAATTAAATGCATATTACAATTTCTTATTTGATATCAATTATTTTTACTCATTAGCTAATAGATTTGCAATTAATTTACTTATTTATTTATTTATTTATATATTTATTTGTCTACAAATTTATTTATTTGCTTACATATTTTTATTTGATATTTTAGCTAATTAGTTCAGAGTACTACTTATAAATAATAATAGAATATAAAAACTGATAACAATAAGTAATTTATAAACAATTTATATACAATTTCATAATTACTAATCAAATTATTTCTTTTAATCTCATTAGTAAAATCTAGTAATTATAAGCTAAATTAATTTTAGCTCAACTAATCTGAGTATTTAAAAACAAATATATGAGTGCATAAGAGTAAAAACCTGAAAACTGATCATAGTAAATTATTAAATCAGTTTCTAAGTTTTTACTCTCATGCATTCATATGATATTCAGTAAAAATATATCTAAATATTCTTAACTAATATTCAGATTAGAGATATGTAAATTTTGTAATTTGCTATAATCGAAATAAATTATAGCAAATTACAGAAAACATGTAATTTGTTTCAATTGTAAAATATAGTATTAGTAGCTATATTGATAATAATAGTCAAATTTGATAAAATTATTATAATATTTTGTTTAATAATGTAACAATATAATAAAATCTTGTATTTAAATAGTATTAGTTTAAAAAAATTTTCTATTTTTTTCAAAAAAAAAATTTAGTGCAACTCACTTTTTTTAAAATTGTAAGTTGTTTGTTTTTATAAGATAAAATTTTAGAGATTATAATAAATTGATACTTTAATTTTAATCAGTTAATCACAGTAAATCACAAAATTGATCAAAACTAATGATTTTTATACTATTCGATACATCTACTAAGATAGATTGAATAGTATAAAAAAATATTCGATTTAGACTAATGAATTGTAAGATAATTATATACTTACTCTTTGTCTATAGTAAATAATAGTAATTTTATAATTTAAATAGAAAAGGAGTTATATTATATCAAAACAAAAATTGTAATTAGTAATACTTTAATAAAGGTTTACTATAAGTGAATTTTGATAAAATTTTAAAATCTTACTTAATAAAATAAATTTGCAAAATATATTCATATAGACTTTTATAGTAATAATATTTTGCAAGAGATATTTATAAAAGTATACAATTTTAGATTCTGAATAGTTTAAAAAGATAGATAAGATAATTTGAAATTAAAACCTCATTTAATGTTATCTCTCCTCCACTTACAGATCTCTTCTCAAATAAATTAAACAATTAATAAAGTTAAAAAAAATTCTGATTAATTATCTTTAGTTTCAACTTTAATCTAATTTAGGTTCTGATAAACCCAAGCTTGAACCTAGTTTAATTTTATTGTTTGTTTAATTTTTTTTCTTTTCTCTATACAAATTTTTTAAAAAATAATACTAAACAAGGTTTTAATTTCAAGTCATCTAAAAATAATTTAAAACATTGTAACAGTCTTTGTTAAAATCATATTTTATCAAATTAACTTCATTCTTAATATAGCATTATTTTGTAATGAGCGTAATTTATACCTTTGTATTTTTTTTGTAAATATATAAAAATCCAGAGCAATTTTAATTTTTTACATTTATAAAGGTTATATCTTTTCCAATATTTAAGGTTTGAATAAATTCTATACAGAGCAAATCATAAATGAATCATGAGTATATAATCGATACTTTATCTAGATATGATTAACATATTATCTGAGGTAAATTAATAGCTAATCAAAATAAACTTCCACTATGCTTATCTGAAATCTGTAACAAGTTATATTGATTATTACTGAATATAGCTAATAAAATTACAAGATTTTGTATAATTTAAAAAATTTGAGAAAACAGAAAAATCACAAATAACACAAGATTTTACTATAATAACTATAGTTTGACTTCTAAATAAAAGTTTTCAGTACAAAATTTTAGTTTATAAGTATATTTAAATATCAAATATCAAGTAAATTAAAGTTTGTGCTCAATTCTAACTTTTATGCTTTTTTGATTTGTGATCAATATAACCTGTTACAGATTTCAGACATATAATAAACTACTACAGTGATATAATATTCTACTTAAACAATATTAAAAGTTCTACTCTGTGTCTTATATTGCTTGTAATATATTTAAAAAGCTATATCATTTGTAATAATATATATAAAATAATAACTTAATAAATTAATTTAACTTATAAAAGGTCTAGTGATCTAGTGTAGTGGATAGGTTATCAGACTACTATGCAATAGGTTTGGGGTTCAAATCCTTCTGTCGACATTTTGAATAATTACTCAAACCTTGTATCCAACTTATGGTAAACTCTGTTCATTTCTGAAGTTGTAACTCTGTAAATTATATTGCATCAATATTGTTCGGATATTAGAAGTGTGACAGAATATTGGAGTTGCATTATACAAATAAATTGAAATAGGATCTATGAGCAGAGGATCTGCATTGTAGAAATTCTGAGTTAGATGAAGTAATACAAATTTTGACAGTCATACTAGTTAATACTTAATCTGACAAAGATTTCTGAGTACAAAGATGTAAATTGAGTAGGTATGAGTAAATTTATGATATTGGGTATTATAACACTAACTTGGCTTGGTGACTAACTAGATTAGGAGGATCTGCTTCATGAAACATTTAAAAGAATATAGAAGTCTAAACTGGTGAAGGACTATAGCTAGAACCAGGTTTGTACAAACATAAAATAAGGATATATACAAGCTAGAATAGGGATATAGCATGGCATAGTTGAGTATCATAACACCTATCTGTTAGAAGGTATTGAAGTGGGACTTATTCAGATAAGACCTGAGCCTATAATAGTAAAGTTTGTGACTAATGTCAGCTTGAGTGCCTTCTAATGTGAAGTAATACAGGGTTTAAGTTAACTATAAGAGTAATATTTGCGATAAGTGAAATAGAGCCAGAGAGTTTAAATAAGGAATCTTCTAAAAGATTTCAGATATGAAAGCTAATGTAGAACCTTCAGGCAGACTACTTAAAATAGACAACCTAAAATTGTACATATAGCTAGTTGTACTCTCAAAATATGTATTACTTCCAAAATTTATAAAATTAATATAGCCAATAGCATTTGTATAAAGTAAAAAAAAAAAAAAAAAAAAAAAAAAAAATTTAATTTATAAGTTGAGTTGATTAAATAAAATTTTTAATTTCTCTATATTTATAAAATTAAAAAAAAATATTAAATAATTACAAAAAAAAAAAATTCTTTTAAATTTTTAAAATTTATATAACTTTTATTTAAATTTTTATTAATAAGTAATATAAATTTTTTTAAACTTTAAAAGTTTCTTAATAACTATCTAATAAATTTTTTTTTATTTTTAATTCTACAAACATATAAAATTAAAATCATTAATTTTCGGTTAAATAGTTGTTATACTATAATTAAAGTTTTAAAAAAAATTTAAACTCTTTGTTTATAATTAAATTTTATTAAACTTTAAGCAAAGTATTTTCTACAACCATCTAACTAAATCAATAAATTTATTTTTATTTTACAAGCATGTAAAAAAAAAATGATTATCAAATTTTGTTAAGTGGCTAGCTATCTAGAAAAAATCAATTTTATAAATCAATCCTGATTGGCGTATATCACGTGATAGTGCAGAAAAATTGATGGTGTTTTATCGATTAGCAATTATGGTAGTATGGGTAATGATGACATAATGGTTGAGGTAATTATTTAAGTGGAAAAAAAGGGATTAATTCCTCTTCTTTTGTCTTTGCTAAAGATTCGACGCAAGTCCCAAGTCCCCTACTTTTTAAAATGATGTTAGTCCGACCGGACAGGTTGATACTAAAATGAAAAGGTGCTGATGACCACGTGAGCAGCAATGCAAAATCCTAAATAGTGTGACAAATTAGAAACACACAAATTTACGTAAAATTACAGTAATTTTCGACTCTAGTTATATACCAATCCCTCAGACCTTTACTAGTTTTTATTTTACTAGTAGTATTATAATTGAGTCGACCTAAGTTAAAACACTACTAACTACCGTATTCATATTTGATCAATACATCGTTGAAAAATTTATCGTCAGGAATTTTTTAGATGTACAAGAAAAATATTTTTCTGTACTTTAAGCTTGACATAATATAACACTACTAAATACATATGGATAACCGCGTTGATACCAATTGCGGAATGTCCTTCGTATCAAGCGAGGATGCGTTGCCCTACATCAAAAAAAAAGAAAGATTTATCAATTAAATTAATTTTCAACAGAAAAATAATGTATTAAGTTCTTACCATGACCCTCCAAGAATTACGTTATGTTTGCCATCAAAAAAATCAGAAGAATATCCCGGATATAATTTACTTTTAACGAACCCAGGGTATTCTTCAAATTTGGTAGATGTCCATGTCCATGCACTGCCTATTTTTTGAACAGAATTATTATCTAACGGGACATCAGTTGGATGCCAATGGGCAAATCCAAAATTTGAATCCAAGTTTGGATTTTGAGAGTAAATATCATAAAAACATCTCAATTCCCCTTCAGTGGGCAACCGCATCTTTGTCCATTCAGCATAATAGTTTGCATGTTCCTGGCTCAACAATACTGGCCAATTCATTGCTACGTCCATGTCGACAGGTCCGAATATAGTCCGAACTTTATATTTAAATGATGAAGGATCTACAGGAACCCAAGATAATGGGTAATTATAATTTACAGTTGCCTTCATAAATTCCAAATATTCTTCATTAGTTACAGGACGTGAATGAATCTTGAAAGCCTGTACAGTGACTTTACGTGAAGGACGTTCATTATCCCAACCAAATGGTAAGTTTAATGGATCCGAGTCATCAAGATCCTCATTATCATCATGACCAAGTGTAATGGTTTGTGTCGGTATTTCCAGTAATTTTGCATCCGGAGCTTTATGGATGGCAGGACGCAATTTGGGAATGACAACGCCTTTTGGCGGTAAAAGATCTTCGAATTGCACCAACATATAAAATAACGTTTCAAGGTGCATTGCTTCATGTTCAAATAACATCCACAAGACGCGACCTAGTGAACGCGGAATTAGTTTATCCTTATAAACATTGTAAATATTTAAAAGTCTTTGTCTAACTTTATCTTGATATTCGAGAATTGAACTAAGTTTTGGCCATTGATCAGGAACAGGCGAATGAGGATTACACTTGGATGGATCATCCATATCAGGATCAATTCCTCGTTCGAAAATGGTGGCAAAATTTTCTGGTTCGGTAAATTTTTCATGAAAATATTTGGCCAGAATAATATCGATGAATGAGGGAATATGACCAATATAAAAAATAAAAGGATGTCGAAGGAAAATAGGTTTTGAATGCATTTTATCTAATGGAATCATGCTCAAGGAAATTGTATCCCATGATTTCCAAATTTCTTTCCATTCTTCGACGGTTGGCACGGACTCTTTCGATTCTTGAGCACGCGTAAAGAAGAAAGGAGGTTTATAAGTCAAATGAAGATCATACTGCGAATCAGAATCAGTCCAACTTTCCACATGAGCTAAATGAGCTTCGTAAAAAAGCTTTGTGGTTTCTGCTTTATTATATTTATAAGCATATTCAATTCGAATAAGTTCTCTTTCTTTCACGTTGATTTGGATTTTTGTTTTATTGATATCATTGGGGACTAAAAATTCTAATATTTGATCTTTCTTGGACTGATAGTACGCTTCATGTCTACCTTCGTTTTCATTATATGTTGAAAAATAATCAAAACTATTACGGTTAATAATTGGCTGATCAAAAATAACATTAAGGTGATCCAATCCATTCATTATAAACTCTGCAGTGACGCCTTGAGGATCGTTGTAAGCGGTGGCAACTTTTTCAGGGTGGTTTCTCCTGTCGATTCCAATCAAAAACATATCACCGGGATTCATCGCATTTTCTTGGAAGCGATGTATAAAGCTTGCAGCATCCTTCCTATTCAAATTTCCAATTGAGGAGCCTAACCACATGATAGTCTTTTGTTTATCTTTCGGTAAAGTTTTGACAAAATCTATCCCATCTTCATACGTGCCACAGAGACCAACAAGTTTAATATTGGAGAAAGTTCCCAACGATGATAAAGATTTATTAAGCTCATTTTCCATAAGATCAAGAGCATAATAAGTGATATTTTTCTTCTTTTTTTCCAGGTTATTGAGAATTATCTGTGTTTTACGCAATGACCTGATATATACATATATTTATTTTAAATTAGCATCATGAAAATGGGTTAAAAATCATGATTAAGGGCATGATATTTAGGCAAATACCCTGCGCTTAAGGACTGCTAAAACATCGTACACAATTTTTCTTAGGGACTTGTAACAATGTTGATTACTGGCAGTCCCTCAAATATACAGTCACCTTTCTAAATTGAACCTAGATTTTTTTGTTGAAAGTCTTTTAAGTTATAGATGATTATATATTCGTATAATCATAGATAACTCTTGAAAGATCGCAACTTCTCTATAAAAAAATCTATTTTTTTTTTTTTTTAGATCTACGAGTTTTCGCAACACACCAAATTTCTAAAATGTATTTTTAATCTATTTAAGAACTGTAAGTTCAATATAGAGTTGACTGTATACAATATTGATGTTCTTACCCTGCACCGAGCTCGATAATACTACTACCTGAGGAAATATATTCGGTAATTTGATCAACATCTTTATTCAAAATATCGATTTCGCAATTCGTCAAATAGTATGCGTCAATGTAAGTAATCTGGTCAAAAAGTTTTAGGCCACGATCATCATAAAGAATTATTGTAGGAATTACTTTCTCGTCATTTTCTTTCAGAGTGAGACCATTGATTATATCATTTATAAGTTTTTGCTTTGTGATTTTTGTTTTACAAATATTGATTATAGAAAATGTTTTAAATGTCATACCTTCGATAATTTTTTTTTTTTAAAAATAAAGGTTATTTATTCTCTAAAAATGTTTCACAAAAAAATATTTATATTATATGAGCGGCATAAGATTATGGATTGTGTCGTAATGATTACAGTATTGATAGTGTAAATTTTTAATTATTTATACTATTGATAAATAAAAACATTAGAACGTAGGAATGAGTTTCCGAACGTAATAAATGACTTAAAGACTTAAAAGTTCGTTTATGTTAAGGTTCGGGTTAGATTTTAACAATTTATATAGTAAATTTACTCAAGAAAATCTTTTTATTAGAACATGAAAGGTGATTTCTTATGTGAATTTTTGAAATATGAACGACCTTTGACAAAAAGAACGAATTTTTTTTTTACTCGTCCTGATCGTGTTACATCTCATTTAGGACCCTTAGTTTTATGCAGTGCGATGCTAAAAAAAAACTTTTTTTTTTTCATACAATGAATTTTTTTTCTCGAAAAGGCATAAACCAGAAGTAAACTGGTTAGCTAAGGGACACAAGCAATAACTACTATTTTTTATAAATAGTATGCATGTAAATTTTATTTATACAGCAGAAATTAATAACCATAATTGCGCCAGGGCATCGCCGACCTGGTTGATGTTACACAGGCTGGTTTCCCGCCTGCCTAAAGCGGGCCAGTCATTAAACGAATGACAGAATATTTTTATGAGATTTGACTCTTACTTTTTGGTTTTTAATAAAAATTACCTGTGCTTTTATACATTTTAATTAATTAGATGTCATTACGACACTTAGCGTTAGTCACTTTGACACTATCGGGCCGTCAGTGTCCCCGCGACCAAATTCAGCCACAGCCACTAGAGGCTTTGTGTCGCGCCAGCCTTACATAGCCGAATGCACAAATTAAAAAATTATACGCAACAACGAGTTGTTTGTTATCTAAACAGGAAATTTATAACTTTAAGATTAATTTGCTTTATACGGAAATATCGCTGATACGTACCCGCATGCTTGCATGTGCTCGCCCATGCTTTTACTCACCTTGCATTAGCCATTAGCCGGAACTTTTATAATATGAGCAAATCATGTATTCGACACGGCCAAAATGTCAGTAGTTTACTTTTCACATGAAATTTATGTAAAATTACATGATTTTTATGCGTGTAATAAATCATATAATCGGGAGTCTTCGGCATCAGGAGTATAATTTGAACCAATCGCATTTCATAATTTGACCTTCATACAGGGGTGGTTACGTGTCCGGAACTCTTCCCGCATCCAGGTGCTTTTAGCTAATAAATTGATGAGACTAATTATGATACGTCATTAAAATATTATAGCATCAACCACGGGATGCTTTTATCATATGAATGCTGCCAAGGGAAAACCTGAAGATTATTAAAATCATTCGTGATGATAGTAACCTGTACTTTCCGGATTCAGGTTTTCCCTTGGCGCCACCCATATATAAAATTTAACGTTAAATTTTATTTTATATACTATACCGATACGCATTTATTACATGGTTAAATTGCGCATTTTATTTTATTAATTTAACCTAATGATTCAAGAGCTATGGCATACATAACCACAATTACGGCATGACATAACTTTATTGACATATCTAATGTTACAAAAACTATTCGCTATTGTAAAATGTCGGAGATTTCCGTTTACTGCTATTATCATAATTCCTGGAACACCTGATAATTTTCCTGCTACCCGAAATATTCCCAGTCTTATCCGGTAAATTACCTAACCTTTCGGAAACTTTAACTTTATCTTTGTCTTCAGATCTCCAATCCAAAGACAGCGATACAGTTTCCGAAAGGTTAGGTAATTTACCGGACGAGACTGGGAAAATTTCGGGTAGCGGAAAAATTATCAGGTGTTCCAGGAATTATGATAATAGCAGTAATCAAAAAAATTTCCGGCTTTATATTTCATCATCCGGAAAATTTCCGTATATGATATCATAAATACGTATATCTGATATATATAAATCTTAATAAATATTATCATATTAAAAAAAATTGCTACATCCGGCTGAGTTTTCTAAGTTCCGGTTACAGCTGTCTTCATAAATTCTGGGACACCTAAAAATTTATTCGTTCCCCGAACTCTTTCTGTGAATTATCTAACTCTTCGGAAACTACGTCGCTATCTTCGGAACTTCGGTCCGAAGATAGCGACGTAGTTTCCGAAGAGTTAGATAATTCACAGAAAGAGATTTCGGGAAACGAATAAATTTTTAGGTGTCCCAGAATTTATGAAAACAGCTATAAAATAAACACCGCCGGAGAAAAAGCAGCTTCCGGCACCCGGAAATTTTGTGCACTAACGTACGTACACACGCAAATTATATCTGATATTGTATCGTAATGGTAACTTTTAATAAAAGTTAAAAATACTGTAGTTATAAATTTGGTTATGACACGGCTTGCTCTGGTATTTTGAGTTTTTACTGTGCTCTAAGTGACACCAAACTTCAGGCTTTTAAATTTATAACTTATCGAATTGAGTCCAGTTAATTATTAATTTTAAAAGCCCGAAATCTGGTTTGGCGTCATTCTACAACAATAGGTTACAGTGGATAATTTCCGATCATTGCCTTTTGTGCTTTTGTTTGTTGGATGTTATACGTACCAGGAACAGAGTGATATTAAAAATTTCACGCAAAATCTCAAATCTCATTAGATTATGCATGTGGCGTGAATGCATGTTTTTACGGCTTTCTGTATTCACAATATAACCTATTTAATAATATTAAACTTACCATTGTTTTTATCTGTACATGATAATCTGCGCTAAGGACCTTCCTTTCTAAGTTAAGTGCATTTCTAATTGTAACTTTTTTCCTTTTTTTGGGATGGCTAAAGCCATGTACCCACGTGATTTGCTTTTAATTGAAATTTAGGTTAGAATTATAAGTAAATTGCCTCCTTAATATTTTTATTAATTCCCCAGACAGGTTTAAACTGCTGTTTTTTTTTATATTTTTAATGTTCTTTAGCTTTTCGCTCATTTTTTACTTCGTCGCGTAAATAAAATTTCATGATTTGATTAGTCCATCTACACAAAAATGCAACGCGACTACATGGTTTTAGAACATACCTGTAAAAATTCCGTGTTATAAGAAATCAAGGAATCTTTCATTTGCATTATTACAGAAATTTGTATTGATTTGTAATATATTTTATATAATTTACCTATGGGTTGTCCTCTTCTCTAGTGATGGGCAACGCGCGGGATCCCGCGCGGGATTTTCCAAATTCCAACTAGCTGACCTGCATTAGCATAGCATAATAGCTACCCCAGCAGGACCATGAAAGATCGGCGCAGATGCACCAATCAGATCTCTTCTAACAATCGACTCTCTATGAAACCACCTTCTGCGCACTAACAAAAAAAATTCTCCGCAAAATTTTAGTATAGAAAAAAACCCTAACATCGGTTATAACCCTAACCCTAACGTAAGTTTTATTACTTTAAAAATTCGATTGTTTTATTAGTGTAGATCATCTGATTGGTGCATATTGTCGATCTTTCATGGTCCTGCAGGGGTAGCTTAGCATAATTTGGCCAAAAATCATGCGCGGATCCCGCATCCCGCGCGGGCTATTCGGAAAATCTGCAATTTGCCTATCACTACTCTTCTCCCTTCTTTCCTATTACTCTTCCATAACTTCCCCCTAACTTGCTTGTTTTTTATGTAACTGACTTTACTTTTCTGAAATGTTCCGTCATCACTCTAGCTGGCCCAAATTTGCTCTACAGGCCCGAATTATGCTCTTAATTTTGCCTGAATTTATATATTGTTTACTACAGTCTGCCGATATACCAAATTTAAACAATGTTCAGATAATTCTAGATAACAAGACTTATCATAATCGACCATCAAGGAAATTTAACATGTAATATATCGATCCAAAGAAAATAATTATTTTAAGTTTTACTATTTATTAAATAGTTTTAGTTATTATAATATTTTTAAAAGATTCGCTACAATCTTTTAGTTTCTATTGTCAATTAAACAAAACCATTTAAATGATTTATATACTATATAAGGGGAGGAACAGAAATCAGGTGATTTCAATTTACTATAGAGTTCCTCCTCCCACTCCTACCTGACTGTATGTTATAGTATATTATATGATTAATATAATAACTACTATCTATCCTATTTTTATTTTCTTATCTATATTACTTCCTGAATCCTTTCCTTCTAGTGATCTATCTGTGTATATATCTAATAACTCTTTTCCTCTTAGCTTCTCTAATACTATGCATAGTTCTCTTTGAATATTTCCTTCTTCTATTACTTTTTGAATTATTACTTCTAAATTTGAGATACTAATTCTAACTTTACTCTAATAATTTAAATCTTCTTAGGTATATTGCTTTAGTCAATTTGAATAAGCTAATAAAAGAATCTTTAATTCTACTATACTTTCTTCTTTTTTAAGTATTCTTTCTACTATTTGATACCACTTATTTATATATTTGCTGACTATATAATCTGTATATTTATTTGCTAAGATTATAACTATTACATTTTGTTAGAATAGTTTGAAACATATTGTTCAATTTCTCTATTTTCTAATAAGCTATAGAGAATTTTTCTTCTATTTTTTGATTATTTTGCTTATGAGTAGTATATTCTTTACTTTTGTAATAACCCATTCTTTTTTCCTTTATCTCTATTTATTCTTTATATTTTTGCCTTTATTGCTTTTTAGTTTGTATTTATCAGCTTGAAGTCTTTAGCTAACTTTTTTGTAATATTATCTGCTAGCATTTTCTTTTCAATCTCTTTAAACTAATTTGGTTTGTATCTTCTTGCTTTGTGATCTCTTAATGAGCAGAGTTGTTGCTAGGATAGAAGGCTATCACCTCCTGCTTCTATTAGCTGATTTGTAGTAAATATATTAAAATTTTTGCTCTTGATAAAGTCTTTTACTGCTTTCTTTTCTAGTAGATTACTTAATTCTATGCTACTAACTTCAATATTATTCAAGTTTATATATATTTTCTAAAACTCAAATACTAATCTTGTTGTATTTCAAATTATATTATATATTTGATTATTTTTGAAATTGCTTATAATCAACTTATATCTATTATTAAGTATATTAAATTTTAATTTGCATTTAAGTTAAGCATCTTTTAGACAGAGATAAGTAGTTGTTTCTACTTCATTTTCTTAATTTAGATATAGTATTAGCTTTATATAATAATATACTATTTAATTTTGCTATATAGATCTTAAACCTATCAACCTGTTATAACTACATAAACTATTCACTACTAATCTTATTAGCTCTATTTTGTTTTTAATTATAATTCAAATTAGTCTTTGTATTTACTCGCATTTGTGTTTAGACAAGAATAATGTCTATAATCTGTATTTAATATTTGGAAACAGAATACTATTGTTTAAATAGACAAGTTAGCTAACTGTTACTCTTTTGAACTTTATCACTTTATACATCTTAGGGATTTCTCTTGTAATTACTTTTGTATTATATTCATTTCCTTCTTTTTTTGAAAGCTAAACTTCTAAATATCTGATTACTTCTGTACTTCTTTTCACAAATACTAAATTTTTATTTTTGTCTATTATAATTACAAGTTCATTATTAACTTAGCTTTGTGTTAAGCAAAGATTTATTATAAAAAGTTCTGATTTTTTTCTATTAATCTTTATATTATTAAGCTTATAGAACTTATTAGATATTCTTATAATTCTTTGTAGCTTCTCTTTTAATTTAGCTATCCAAGTTGTATTGTCTGCATAGGCTAATACTCCTTATTACTAACTAATTTCTTGTGTTTTGTTACTACTTATTTTAGTTGTCTAGTTCACATTTATTTTGTATTTAAGCTTTTTTTATCTTAAATTTCACAAAATAATAGGTTATAAAAGATATACCAAAGTAGAGAAGAGACTATTTCACTTTGGTCAAAGCCATCTTCTGTAGTAAACTCTTGAGTTAGTCTATAATTAGTGATAACTTTAATTTTTCTTGCAAAAATAGGCTTAGCAAAAACTTCTTTGTATTGCTTGAGAGTTTAATTCTATTTAGTACTTTATTCAATATATCTAAGCTTACTGAATTGAATACCTTCTTCATATTCTGAAAGAGAATTCAGTTTTCTTTGTTTTTATTTCTAGCTTCTTCTATTATATTGTTCATAATATGTATTAGGCTATTTGTGTTGCAGCCTGAAAGATATACAAAGTTTGGACCCTTTAAGATATTGTGCTTAGTGAGTATTTATCTAGTCTTTTTCCTATTACTTATACTATAACTTTTCAAAATACTTTAAAGAAAATAATTAGTCTAATATTTGATAAGTTATAGTTCTAGTTTTTATCTTTTGAAATAGGATATAGTTAGCTGATTTTCTATTTTATATAGTACTCCAAGTCACTTCTCATCAAATGCACCAAATTTTGGGTATATATAAATACTTTTTAACCAATTAGAATATATTATATACTAATTCTGATTAGATAAAAAAATTTTAAAAAAAAATTTTTTTAAATTTTTTATATTAAATGCCAAAATTTTGAAAACATAGTAGCTTTAAACACTTATAACATTAAATCTCAAACTTTTTTAAAAGTTTTAACTGATAATTTTGATAGAACTAATGAAAAATAATAGTTTTTATCAGTTACATTTTTAAAAAATATTTAAAGCTTAAGATTTTATAAATTTTTTAAAAAGTATATAATTTTTGATGAGAAGTGACTTGGCGAACTATAGGAATTTCACTATCTATAATGTACTTGTTTGCTAAAACTAGAAATATTCTTTATACTAAGCTTCCTACTTTCCTTATTAAAAGATAGCTTATTTCTGATAAGCTAGAAGCTAACTTTGTTTTTATATTTTTGAGAACCTCTTGTCATTCTTGTAATAATATTTGTTTGTCTAAGTCTTTGTATATATTTTTATCAATTTCTGCTATCAGTTTATAAGTTTCAACCTATCTGCTTATATTTGTTAATATATTAGATCTTCTTTTGTGAAATTGTTTCATAAAATGCTTTCTCACTTTATTTTTAACTTTATTTTTTTCTGTAATTAATACTATATCTGCTTTGTTTTCTATAATAACTCTATCTAGTTTTACTTTGTTTGAAAATCTTTCAAACAAGCTACTTAACATATATTTCAACTCTCCTTAAATAGCTATATACTTTGTATCTACATACTTATTAATCTTTTTTATATTCTCTTTTCTTTTTTTTTATTACACTTTCATATATATCATCTTTTACTAAGTCTTAATTTCTTTTCTTCTAGCTTTTGTCTATTGCTTTTTAGTAAGTTCCTCAATTTTTATATCTAGCCTTTTATTGAGATTTCTAATTTTAGCTAACTACTTATATCTATTTTTCTCTTTTATATGAAGACTTTCTTTCTCTGTATACAAGTAATATAAACTTCTTATGTTTCTTAAATCTTTTAAAATTATACTACTCTTTCTAGATCTTCTAAAAACAACAGAATCTACTTTTACTTCTTTGCTTGATAATATTTTGTATATACTTTTTAGTATATAACCTAAAAAAGTATTCTAAAGCTCATCTATATTTTTCTCTTTATACCTTTTTAATAAACTAGATTCTTTGCTATTTTTATCTATTTTCTTTTTGAGAATTACTTCTAACTTCAGATTGTATGCTTCCTAATCTTCTTCTATTACTTCATCTAATTTCAGAACTCCCGACTGTTACGTTGAATTAGCCAATCAATGTATGAATTCAAATCCACAAAATCGACCTACTGCTGAATATATTTATTCAAAAATTAATCAATGGAAAACAATTATGGAATCAGAAAATTTAAAAGATAAAGAGGAACTTGATATAAAAAATAATTTCATATATGCTGATGATATAATCAAAAAAAAACAACGCTAAAATCCTTATCAATTCAAAATAAATATTTTAGCACATTAATTGATGTACAAGCAATAACAAAGTGTCCTAAAGGTACAAGCAGGGCTAAGTTATCTTACATTGCTTATACTATGTAATTATTACTTTTTAATTAAGCATTAATCTAGTTATATCACACGTAGTATCTATTTCGAAGCAGCTTGCAAGTTCAACTCTTGAACTTCCATCTAATATTACCGATTTATTAAGTTAGTATAATTAGTAATATTTGATTGTTTTAAAAAATCTTTTACTAATAATAATTTTTTTTAAAGTTCAAGATAGTGAAATTCAAAAGGAATAAAATGTTTCGATTAGTTTCGATTTTTAGCACTTTAAATTATTATATCTTGTCAAAATATTTTAGTTTTTGATTATTTTAAAATTTAAATAAGACATACTTCTAAATTATTATTAAAAGTCTAAAATATATTTACTAAAATTAAATAATTCATATTTCTAAATTATTATTTATCCTAAATTGGTACAAGATTATGTTGACAGCTTCGCTGCTAGGGATGGATGATTATTTATATGATTGGTTTATTTATGTTAGTCAAAACAGAAGTTTTACTTTTATTATTTCTAATATTATCTATATTATTCTCGGTCATCTTAGTCTTTATTAGAGATGTTCTTTGATCTTAGTCTCATAAAATTAATGAGTTTAAATTTTTTGACAATCACCTAAGGGTGTTCTCAAGCAACTCTTTCAAATTAATTTGTTAAGATTGAGCTGATTGCTGTATTACAGTTAATTGAAGTGATTCTCATAATAATCTTGCTGAAATTCATTGAGCGAAATGCGAATTTTGAATATCAAAATAACTGGAAGTTTCAAGAACACGGAACCCAGTGATCATCACATCACCAGATCAAACACTCGGCCTAAGTTAGGGTTAGTGTTAGGGTTAGTTTAGGCGGCCGATTTATTAGTGCTGGTAAACGCATGACGTCATTGCATGATTTCACCTGATGTGGTGATCACTGGGTTCCGTGTTATTGAAAAAATTGTTAAATGACAAGCACGATCATTTTCTTAGCCAATCAGGCCATATTGTAATTTATTGAGGAAGGCGTCTGAAAACGACCTAAATTTGACGAATTTGTCTTTATTTTAATTCTACAGAAATCCACTATATGGTGTCTCCACAGCAAAAAGAGGCTTTGGGCAATTTTAAAAATTGATCTTTAATTAGTTTATCTCATGATCTAGTAATCAGAATTAAATAATTTTTGTTTTATTTAATTTATTGCATTGAGATGAATTTAATAAAATAAAATTTATTTAATTTTGATTACTAGATCATGAGATATACGTGCTTATTTAAAGATCAATTTTTAAAATTGCCCAAAGCCTCTTTTTGCTGTGAGGGCCCCCATATATACCAGGAACGGAGTGATGAAATCACGGAGTGTATGGCTTAGTATGAGAAAGAAATAATGCATACTCAAAATCAATTTATTGATTGGTCTGCGTGATCGTAGTTGTCACTTGTTGCATGTTTTTCATGTCTCTACCAAATATCACCCTGTAATATGTAATAGTTATATCCTGGGTAGTTGGGTATACTGTAAGCGGAATTTTGATGGAAAGTATAATGACATAGATCGGCTGCTACGCAGCCGATCTACGTCATTATACTTTACAGCAAAATTTCGCTTATATCCAACAACTCAGGATATAACTGATATATCCCCTGCCATCTACATGACTAAAAAAAACTTCTTTCTTTAATAAAGAACGAAAATATGGTTAGAAATTTTTTTTTAATATTTATATACTAGCATTTTTTAATTTAAATAAAATAAGTTTTATTGTTGTTACTACTGTACTATTGCTATTGCTATATATTATCATTACTATCACTATTGCTATTACTAAATATATATTTAATTTTTAGGGAATCTGAATTTAAACCTGCTTCAGAAATCGATCCAGTAACTCAAGCAATAACTGACCTAAAGGAATCAAGTTCAAATATAGAAACAACTAGTAGATCTTCAATAAAACCAAATAATAAAAAATTCGATGTATGTATTGGTATTTAATCATTAATATTAAATTATATTAATATAATAAATTAATTTAATAATATTGCAGCTTAGTAGATTTAAATACCAATGTCTATCAAATGATACATTAAGTCATTATAAGCAAACTGCAATTCTAAAAAATACTCAAAAAAGTAACAAACTTTGGATTACATGATTTAAAGAATATGTTAAAGACACCCAACCTGATCTTAATATTGATCAAATTAATAATAAACATATACTCGCTGTTTTACTTTCCGAATTTGTTATTGCAATAAAAAAATATGATAAAAATGAATTTAAAGCAGATTCATTATATAATGATGTTTGTGCAATAAATAGATATTTTATTGAAAGATTTAAAGAAATAGGTCCTTTTAATTTACATGGTGATTTTGAATTTGCTTCTTTTCGTGATATTTTACATTCAAGACTGTAAGAATTAGAAGAAATTCCTAATGGAACATCTCAAGGTGCAGACCCATTAAGTGATTATGAAATGAAACAAATATTTGAACATCATGAACTTAATAGAGATACACCAATTAGATTATTTCATAAAGTTTTTTTATGGATTGGTTGTTGTACTGCTAAACAGAGTGGATTCTATTTAGATATAATGACATCACATTTTAAAGAATGTTCTGATGGAGGATTTGATCTTTTAATGATTTATGATAAAACCTACAAGGATAGATATTATCATCGTAATACTTCTGGATCTAGACATAATACACCGTCACAAATTATACCTCTAGATAAATTAGGAGTTATTGGAGCATGTACTGATATCAAAAAATATTTAAGCTTACGACCAGCAAATGCAGAACCAAATTTATTTTTACAAATTAATAGAGATTCAGAAGGTTGGTTAAATTAAATTTAATATTGTTATATATATTATATATATACATATTAATTTATTACATATAGAAATAAAAAAAGGAAATTGGTATACATATCTTCATATGGGTCATGACTCACTATTCAAAGTTTTAAAGACAATTTGTGAATTAACTAGAATTGATTGCACTAATCGGCATATAGTCAATCATTTCCTACGTAAAACTACTACCCAAAAGCTTAATGATCATAATGTAGATCCTCAAGCAATAATGAATATTATACTTCATCGTTCTATAGCTGGACTTAATCGTTATAGAAAACAAAATGAAGAACAACATATTAAAGTAGCAAATATTGCTCTTCCTGCTGTTAATAATGTAATTATAATTTTTTTAATAATTTATTTTATTTAATTAAAATACTAACTACTATATATAATTGGTATTTAGATTTTACCAAAACAAATATTAGCAAATGAAGAAGGTTCTCAAAATGAAACAACATCAAGCTTTAATGAATCTAACATACAATTACAAGATTCTATTACAAATGTAATTTAATATATATTATTAACTTACTTATTTTATATTTTATAAACTAACGACTTTTTT